AAGTATCGTATTATTTCTTAACAATTTTTTTGATAGGCAAAATTGTTGAATACGACAAGTTACTGATAAATAGATTTTTCTTTGTAAAAAATACTTTGATTTTTACGCAGTAACTTATCGGGGTAAACTTAAGTTTGCCCTTCTACACTTGTATAAAGTTCTCCATTATAATTTTTATATTTTTTCAGATTATGGAAGGTAACAATTACCCAAAAAAAGGTCGATAAAAAACTCATTTATTTTTCATTTTTCAGTTTCGTAAGCTATGAAAGCGTGTGTTTTAGTCTTTTTGAACTATATTTATTTTATCTAGCAATAATGTCCATATATCATGGAGTTACGTACAGCGCCATCTGCCCACGAATAGATCAAGCAATAATGTTGATAGTTCTGTCAAATACAGATCCCCAGCTTGAGAGTTACAAACAAACATACATACATACAGGTGAAGCTTATATAAAGCGTGTATAAATACAAAACAATTCTTCAACTATAATACTCACTAGGTCTGGTTGGAAACGGCCTTATGGGCTGCACAGTATATGTCCCACTGCTGGACCCGAACAGGTGTCCGCCAAAATACCCCGGCACTTCGCTAGAAGGAGAACACCCTGTAGAACTGACCTTGCAGCAACGATACAGGGAGGAGACGCAATCGGAGCACGGGATGGCCATCGTGGGGGTCGGTTTCGTGATGGCGGTTCCTTTTGGTGAAAGGTCTTGTGCCCGGGAAAGGCTATCAGACGAAGACAGCAGTCGATCGATTCCGAACTTTAACCTCGTTGGTTCTTTTTCGGTGGTGGTAGTTTTGAAGAGGGCGCTGTTCATTGTTTTGGCGACGAGGATTCTGATTCCAGCTCAGGTTATTTCGGGACAAGCACTATGCCTGAAAAAAGTAGAGATTCAATTGAACGTGTTAACGTTGATTTTTGGGAGTTGTCTGCAGATAGACCAAAATGATTCATAAACTATGTATATATAATCCTCATCTTGATGACGTTTGTTATAGGATATAAAATATACACCTCTTTCGTGATTGAAATATTTGGTGAAACATTGAACATCATAAATACGTCCCACATCAAATCAATTATTTCAAGCTGATGGAAATACGTATTCTTTTAATAAAAAAAATCTGGATCAATTGAAAACCTTGGATAGGGAATGCTTTATTTCCATGTGAAGGACCAATTATTTTGATCCATCATGAAACGGTATATAAATTATGTATTCATAATTGTCATCTGAAAGACGTTCGTTNAACGGTATATAAATTATGTATTCATGATTGTCATCTGAAAGACGTTCGTTTTGAGACACTATATAATTTTTTATAATCGAAATTTTCGGAACATACATCTATGTTAAAAACGTAAGAAATAGAATCTTTTATTTCCTTATTATTGAAAACATAAAATAGACAAATATTTTCAAATGAAAGTTGTTAGAACCTAATCGAAAACATTATTTCGAAGCCATATTGAAGACTTCAATTATTTTGGTTCCTTATGAAACGGCTCATATATAATGTGTTCATGACTGTTATTTATTCAATTTATTATATTTTTCTCATAGGTATATTTTGTTAATAGTACTTTATTTTAATGCTCCANGTACGCATATTAGGAAAAACACTTTTTATATTTGTCTTGTTCAAACCTCAAAATCACCTGTTGATAAATTACATCAATTCCAAAGAAAAATAGAAATAAGAGACACTCCTGTGAATATTTTTTTCTGCACAGGTTAAAGAGACGTCTATTTTTCATTTTGAAAATGATGGAGAGCATCATGATCACGTTTCCAGAATACTTTTTTTTGTAGCAATTAGTTCCACTATCCGCCATTGTATGTTTAGGTCTCCGTGAGTACATACACATGATAAAAAAAAATGGCCTGTTTTGATGTTTTCAATTTGTTGTCGGCCGACTTCAACATCATGTCAAGAAAAAATATATTTCATGGTTTTCATTGTGAACATTATAGAACATTATAACTTCGAACCATTGTGTAAAATTTTCAAATATCCGTTAAAGATCTGATTTTTTTCTACCTGTTCAGAATGCAATTTTAATATCTTGTTTATTCAAAAATGAAGCCACTTTTTTGTTGTTTGTCTAAAATATGTTGAAGCTTTATAATTTTGATTTTGATCATCAGTAGGACTACGAGGAGTATAAACCCGCCCAAAATAACTGTGGCAAATCATAACGAAATCACAAAATTTTGTTAGTGTTAGGGTTTTGCCATTGAAATGAGCATTTGTAACTTTTTACTATTTGGTACTTTCTTCTCATTGGAGAAAGTATGCTGCTGTGTACTCAAAAAGACTTCCAAAAGAGAAATATGTCAGGGAATTAGGCACGTACCTACTGGACTAACACCTCCACCCTGTTAAACTCCATTCCTGCGGTTTTCCCAAAAGCGTCGCACAAAAAATCACGGCACACTTCGCGTCAAGCACTCTCAGGAACACACATAATAGCGCCACCAGGCCCACTTGACTAATAGGGCCACCGCGATGCAATAGGTGGCCGTAAGTGAGGCAGCTTAAAGTTACGCATTGGGAGGAGTCACTTTGACTTTTCGCACCTCATTGGCTCTGGCAGGCTCATTAGCAGTCAGCCTCTGCACTTGTGTTACTCAGGGAGTTTATTATCGCTACAAGATGAGATACTTTCGATACGCGGCCTGGTTTTCGCTACTGTATATTAGCGAGGTATGTCAGCTGCCCGTAAAGTCCAGGCGCTGACGTCTATTGAGTGATGTGGATGTATGTTCCGGTATGGTGGTGTTAATTCGGGTCTCACAGGAGGCCGTTCGTTTACAGGTTCATGAAGGACTATGAACCTGTATAATAAATGGTTTGCACTATTTTATACAGATAGAGTATAACACACTGATGGAAGCTAATGATTCAGGTCCGGCTTCACTTTCCAAATAAATCATTGTTATTATCAATAATGATGATAACAATAATAATAATTGGTTTGTCGAGGGGCGGACCGTTCTTATCTCTAAAAGCGGAGATTTGTCGGTTCCTAAAAATGACAGACCGATAACATGCTTGAATTCGTGTTATAAGTTGTTTGCAAGCATCTTATACACACGAATACTCACCGCAGTTGACCGAGTGTTCGAACGGATATATAAGCAGAGAGAGTCGAAGAGAGGAGTCGCTGGATGTAAAGAGAACCTGCTCATCGATAGATGTGTAACGCAGGACTCGATACAATATAAGCGTAACCTCTCTATGGCCTGGATCGATTACCGTAAGGCATTTGATACAATTTCGCATGAGCTCATCTTGCATTTGCTCAGATGCCTTGCGGTACCCGACAACATAGTGAGATGCATTGAACAACTGA